CAAAAGGTAATTTCCTTGGTGAGATTCTGCTGGCTAGAAAGAGGCTATAGTATCTCTTGGTATCCAATTCTGATGGAGAATAATTATTACATAAACCACAATCTATTGGTCCCCCAACTTGAAAATCCAGGCTTCTTTTAAATAAATAATTGGCATTTTATTACACATATAATTTTTTTCTCCAACCAGTCTTTGTATGACGCAAACAACAGATCTATTCTTCTAGATTTTCTATCACCTTTAGACAGATAAGAACTGAACAAGTCTAATTACAAGAGCTTCAACAGCATTCTACCACTATGCGGAAGAGTGAGAACCTTATATAGTTACCCAGAGAAAATTTTAAATAGATAAAAAGCATTACTTTTAAACTCTTTCAGCCACATGTTTCCATAAGCACTCCCTAGTCATCTAGCAATACAATAAACTAAAAAAAGAAAAACTTAGAACATTTTAAGCCTTAATATTCATCACAAATAGAGAATTTACACATACTTTTTAAAATAAATTGAACTAGTGCTATTAAATGAAAACTATCCATTTATCCTTTTTTGTTTACTATACCTAACTTTGGTCATATATTAATATATCAACATTAAGTTAAATTTTCCAAATTATCATTAGCATAACAGTTAAGAGAAACACTTAAAATTTCCTCACTCCTTGACTTCCATGTTTTTATAGCTTATATTAAATCACCTATTGTTTTAATAGAAATTAATTTACAAGTCTAAAATCTATAATTAAAAAAATATGTACATTCAACAAAAAATGCTGGAACAATTCACAAAAGTTGAACTTAGAACTCATCTCACACTGGATCACAAGAATTAACTTGAATGGTCTTAGAATTAATGGCTCTAATAAAAATTTACAAGAAAATATAGGGAAAATCTTTAAGATCTTGGGTTAGGCAAAAATTTCTCAGGCTATGACAAAGACATGGTCCATAAGGGAAAAAAAATCGATAAATTAGAGCTCATGAAATTCAAACTTTCATACTTTCAATACACTATAAGAAAATGAAAATACAACCAACAGACTGGAGAAAATATTTCGAACATATATCCAATAAAGGGCTTGTACCCAGAATTTACAAAGAATTCTTATAATCAACTCAAAAAATGATAAATGACTCAAAAAGTGAGCAAAAGATATAAACAGATATTCACCAAAGAAGAGATATAAATGACTATAAGTACATGAAAGATGTTCAGCATCATTAGCCTTAGGGATGATTTTCCTTAGGGAAATGCAAAATTAGCCTCAATGAGATTCATTTCACACCCCTAGGGAGCAGACAATAATAAATGTTGGCAAGATGTGGAAAAGGGAACTCTCATACATTGTTGGTGGGCTGTAAATGGTAAACCATACTGGAAAACTCTGGCTGTTTTCCAAAAAGTTAAACATAAAACCATGATATGGCCCAGGAATCTACAACTAAGAATCTACCCAAGATACATAAAAACATATGTATGTTTTTGTATGTGGAATATTTGTAATGGCATTATTTGTAACAGCCTGAAACTTAAAACTATGTTCATCAACTGGTGATGAATAGACAAAATGTGACAAATCCATACAGTGGAATATTATTCAACAATAAAGAGAACGAACCAATGACACATGCTACGTTATACATGAACTCAAAAGTGTTAACTTAAAGAGCTAGACATGAGAGACTCCACACTGAATGACCCATTTATAAGGAGGGTCTAGAAAAGCAAATTTTATACAGACACAAAATAGATTAGTGGTTTCCTGAGGCTTAGAAGAATGGGATTAACTATAAATGAGTATGAGGATATTACTGTGGTGTTTGTTTTGTTTTTTTTTATTTCGGCATATATGGGGTACGAATTTTAGGTTTCAATAAATGCCCTCCCCCCACAAGTCTGAGTTTCCAGCATGACCATCCCCCAGATGGTGCACATCTCACTCATTATATATGTATATACCCGACCCCCCCCCTGCCCAATACCCTATTACTGTAGTACCTATGTGTCCACTTAGGTGCTGCTCAGTCAATACCAGTTTGCTGGTGAGTATACGTGGTGCTTGTTTTTCCATTCTTGGGATACGTCACTTAGTAGTATGTGTTCCAGCTCTAAAACTGATGTATAATGATGGCTGCAGCATTTGGTAAAGTTACTAAAAATCATGTATAATGATGGCTGCAGCATTTGGTAAAGTTACTAAAAAGTATATACCTAGAATGGGTGAATTTACAATATGCAAAATATACTTCAATAAAGCTGTTTTCAGCCACGGTTGCTCACGCCTGTAATCGTAGGCTGAGGCAGGTGGATTGTTTGAGCTCAGGAATTTGAGACCAGCCTGAGCAAGAGCGAGACCCCGTCTCTACCCAAAATAGAAAAAATTAACCAGGCATGATGGTACATGCCTGTAGTCCTAGCTACCCAGGAGGCTGAGGCAGGAGGATCACTTGAGCTCGGAGTTTGAGGTTGCTGTGAGCTAGGCTGACACCATAGCCAGGGCAACCGAGTGAGACACTGTCTCAAAAAAATTAATTAATTAATTTAAAAAAATAAATAAAAATGAATGTGCTTTTGTTTCACTTGTGCCTTAAAGAATTAAATGAGTAACTTTAGACTATAGCAATTTCTATAATTTTGATTAAAAAACAATTGTACCAATTCTAATCTTCTATGGGAAACAATAATATCATTTTAAGAGAGGATCTAATGTAGTGTTAGGAAATCTCCCATTGGCAGCTCAATGGACAAGAGTTCTCCAGGAAAAGGATTTCTTGTAAATCAAAGTTCCTTCTGTTAGTTTATATTTTAAGAAGCCAGTGCCTAGAAGCAGCTCAAGAGCATACACAAAAGAGATTTAAGTTGTCCTTTGACAATGGGCTCATTGATCTAATAGATATTCTATTCTACACCCAGATTATGGAAGAATTTAGAAAAACAAAAACTTTTAGCACAATTTAAAAGGACACAGGGTTAAGTTATATAACTTTCAGAGTGTACATGTCCAAATGGCAAAGGCAACGTTTGCTTGAGTAATGTTTAATGTCATAACACAATAGTCCTGAATAATAATATTAAATAAGTAACGTTACAAGCATCGATCCAATCTCTCTAGATCTTCCTATATTCATTCAAACTATTATATATTCGCCTACCTTTCCACTCTACTTATAAGGTCTTTCAAAGATAATCCAAGACTTCATAGCCCTCACAGGACTTCAAGGAATTTTGCAAAGTTTTTATGTCTTTATGAAAATATCACCTTGTCTGTGAGGCCTTGTCTGACCACCTTAATGAAAACTGCCAACACCACAAAATTCCCTATGCTACCTTCCCTGATTCATTTTTCTCAATAAAACTAAACATGCATTTTACATATATTCTGATTATTGTTTGTCTTTCACTACTAGAATATAAGCTCCATGAAAGCTTATATTTCCATGAAAGGTTCCTTGCTGTATCCTCATTTCCTAGAACAGTGCCTACCATGTTGTAGGTGCTCAGTGTTTTTTAAACAAATGAATGGGTGTTACATATGTGGAAGAAAACAAGAGCTGATCCTTGCCACAGGAATGAACAATGAGTCTATTCTCCTTATTCAACATCCTTGACTTGAGGTTAAAATATGAATTTTACAAGGAAATAGAGACCTCAGTGTAAAATTTCCAGGCTGCCTATCCAGCATTTCTTCAGCAAAAATGAGCAACAACAACAACAAAAAGCCAACATTTCACTTATACTTCTGGATTTGCAACAAATAAAGTATGTTTAATAAACTGACTCTAGTTCTGGAGAGACAACAGGTTAATTAAATCTCATGTGACGCATTAACGAAAAAGAAAAAGGAAACTTCAATACTTAACTAGCTCTTCTTACTAGTTCCTTAATTCTAGTAAGAAGTATAAAATTTCAAAGGCATTCTTACACACAAAATGGGATTCCATCTTCAAGAAAACAGATACCAGCAGAAATTGCCCTAACTCTACTGACCTCCTAAGCCCCAAATCTTCCAACAAACACCAAGGAACCTTTTTCTCTCCCTCATCCCAGAAGCCTTCCTAGAACCAATTTACACCTACATCGACCTTCAGAACTCAAGGTTTTAATTAACCCCTGACCAAATTCAACTGCCTTCCAAGCGATTCACACACCCAGCAAAAAGACCCACCTCCAGGCCTCTGGAGTATCCCCTACGAGGGGTGGGGAACCTGCAGCCTTCTCATTTCAAGATTGTTCTTTTTTAAGCACCAAAGGAGGGAAGAAAATCTTCACCTTTCTCTGCTGCTCCCCTCTTAATAAAAGGATTTATTCTACACAATTTGGATTCAGTTAAAAGGCCGCACTACAGAACCTAGAAGACCACGGGTTCCCCAGCCCTGCCAGCCCCACCAACCGAGAGTCCTGGAACATCAAATAATCTGGGACAGCAGGGACCTCCAAGCAAGGACAGAGTTGGAGGACATCTTAGACCTCATCCTGGCTCTGCCAATTTCTGCGTGACCTTGGGCGTGTTACTCACTATGCCTCTAGGGGTCCCCGTTTTGTCACCTTTAAGGTGAGGATAACAGGCTGACCAAGTTGAGGCAAGGAGTAAATGAGATCCCAGGTAACGCAGCGAACAGGCACCTGGCCGCCAAGGGCGCCGCAACCATCAGCGGCGCGCACTCCTCCCCAGTCCTTCCCATACGGTCTAGTCCGATCTCCCAGTTTCGCGGAGGACGCCGAGGTCCGAGAAGGGACAAGTGCCTTGCTCCGACCACCGCAAGGCAGATGGGCGCTGGACCTGGAACCCAGGACGCCGGACCCCAGCCCACACCCTCGCCCTCTGCCCACCGCCCTTGCCCGCCCGCCGGGCGCTGCTGCGGGGCGAGGCGGTGCCCGCCGCCCTCCCGAGCCCCACTCCGCCCGCCGCGCGCTCCACCGCCGCCCGGCCGCGCCGCCCCGCCTCCGCCCGCCGGCAGCCCCGCGCGGCGGCGGCGGCGGCTCGAACGCGTACTCAACTCTTCACTTTGCCGAAGGTGCCGACGCCCAGAGTGTCCCCCAGCACGTAGTGTCCAATCTTCACCCGCCCGTCGTGCTTCTGCTTCTCAGCCATCTTCGGCGCGCGCGGCCTCGCTCCGCCGCCCGCCCCTCAGCGCCGCCGCCGCCGCCTACCCACAGTGCAGCGGGACCCGCGCGGGGCGGGCCGGCGGCCCGGGAGGGGCGGCGGCCCGGGAGCGGCGCGGGGCGCGGGCCCAGGTGGGAAGAGCCGAGGGCGGGCGGCGCCCGGGCGGGAGGGGCGCCTGCGGCTGAGCCCTCCTGAGGCGGCGACGGCGGCCGGGACCCGGGGTGGGGCGAGGTGCGTGGAGTCCAGTGAGGGCCCAGGCGGCAGGCGCTGCGAGCAGTGGGGCGGGGGCCCTTCTGAGGAAAGCCGAGGGGCGTGAAAACATGGGGTGAGATTCGCGCCCGATCTCAGGGCATGGAAAGAGGTGGAAGTAGAATTTGAGGAAGACAAACAGGCCTGAAGTGTGGGCGCGAGGGCATGTGAAGATGAAAACGCGAGTGTGGAGGGGTGGGAGGGCCCCGAGCAAAGGGCAGTCGGAGGAGAGCCACAAGGAAGTTCCTCAGGTCACGGCTATTTTTGATACAGGTCACAGCACTTAGAGAACGCAGTTCTGCGCTGTCTTCTGTTGTCCTCTGCTTAGTCTGTAATTCTCAGTTATTCTGTCCTATCGATGGAAGAGACCCTTTCCTCCAAAGCTCTCAATTTTAACTAATTGGCACAAAGTTTTCCAAACTATCACAGTCGCAGTATTTGCCAGAGTGTATGTTAGCACTGCTCATGTAAATTTACAGTGTAGAAATACTGGGTGGTGGAACTGCTGCCCAAGAGGGAAAGGCTTTCGGAAAGGGAAACTGTTGTGCCCACAGAAAGTCAAGTACTTAAGAGGTATTCTCTTAAGACAAGGACAATATAAGGACATTAAAGAATAGAATAAATGTGATAAAAATAGAAGTGAAAAAAATGGCAAGATGAAATTAGAGGCATGACGCCCAGGCAGAGTGGTAAAGACTGACAAAGAATTTGGTAATTAAGTGATTATCTCTTCCCTCCTCCCCTCCTTGATCTTTCCTTCCTTATTTTAATGTCCCATTCTTTAATGTCATCTTATCTTTCAGTGCTTAAAAGATTATTTGCTTATCACACACAAAAAACAGATAAGTATGTAAGGTGATACATATGTTAATTACGCAATTTAGCCATTGCATAATAGATACATATTTCAAAACAACATGCTTTACACAATAAATGTATACAATTTTTATTTGTCAAATAAAATTTTTAAAAAACAGTAAAAGAAAGATTACGTGCCATTGGGGATAAATTATTAAGGATTAGTCAAACGCTTACAACACTGTGCATGCCAAGGTCACATTCTTCAAATATGAAGTCTCTTATCACACTGCTCATATGTAAAGGGAAATGTATTGATCTGAAAGAATAGGATGTAACAAAACTTTGTTTTCTGAGAAGTACTCCAAGTACAAATGATAAACTTTCATTCTTGCTTAGACATCAAGACAATGTGATGAGAGATGATCACAGCTTATAAATTATAGATATCACAGCTGTTGAACAGAGGCTATTTTTGTTCATTCTTGAGATCATCTTTCTTGCTGACAAGAAGTATCATTTAAGAATCACTCTACCTAGCTGGCAATTTTGAGAAAATAGCCAGTTATTTTTGATGCTGAACTTTCATTTGGTTAAGGGTCACTCCTTCAGTATTCATTTCAAGTAACTAAGAAAATATCGATTCTGCTTTTGAGAAATAAGATGTATGTCTGTCTCATGCTCTACATTCCATTAAAAGATGTTGAAAAGTCTTCACTTTAACATAGATGGCTTTCTAGAAACTACATGAAGACAAACTAAATTGAGATTTTAAAGCATTTTGCCCTGTCTTAACTATTTACTGATAATTACTGTAAGTTAAATTATTATATTTAATAACTACTATGATTCTTAATAGCTACTGTGGGCCATCTTGTAGCTTTACTATGCCAAACATGTATATGATACTTTGTTGATTAAGTTCATTTAAACACAATTATCTCATTTAATTGTCATAAAAGAAACTTATTATTATTCTCATTTTATAGATGATAAAACTTAGTTTTTCCCTTTCTGATTTGCCCAAGGCTAAAAAGCTAAGTGGCAGAGTCAGAACTCATATCCAGTTCTGACTTGTCGTTTCGTCATTCTACATACCTACATACAGCTGCCTATACATAGAAATATAAATAGAATATATAGTGCTCTAAGAAAGTTTAAAATTTGCACACTCACAGTCCTATTTTCAGATTTTTATCATTTCTAGGGCAAGCCAATAATATACCCTATAAACTGTTAACTATTTGAACTACTTTCTGTTTTGCCAACTTTTATTTAGAGGAAAGACTGAATGCTGAGTGGGTGAGAAGGATGGGACATAGACAACTTTCGGTGGCAGCACCCAGCCTCCTATTGCCTTGGATGCTTCAGATATGGTTTCATATTCTCTGTAAGCCGAACTACTCAGCAATACAAAACTCCACAGTTAATCACAGTAGACCTCAAAAGTTACCCTTCTTGGAGGGCTCACCCTGAAGACATTCTGGTAAATGCAATATTCCCATTTTATTATTTGCCAATGATGGCTTCATGCCCCTGTATTGTTTACTACCAATGTCTAAGATTTGTGCCTCAGCCAACTATTCAGTTCTTAACCCTGGTCCACCTGTTATTGCTTTATACTCCTACTATTGCACCTTTGGGGTTATTTTACCTCAAATATTTGAAAGTGGAGCCTGAATATGTGATTAATAGAGTATCACTAAATTAATACATTGCACTAGATTCCACTGATACTATGAACAATCTTAAAGTGTTTGCTCAGAGTCACCTTCTTGGTGAGGCCTACCTTGACTCCCCCTATTTAAAATTACAGCTTCATCTCTCCCTAGACTGTACTCTCCACTCCCCGACCCTGACCCCCTTAAACTTTTTCTCATAGCACTAAGCTTCTAACATACTATTTAACTTACTTGCTTATTATGTTTCTGTTTGTCTCTCTCTTCCAACTAGAATATACACTTCACAAAAGAGTTTTCTCCCTCTCTGTCTCTCTCCCACTCTGTCTCTTATTCACTAATGTATCCTTAGCTCCCAGAACAGTGACTAGCAAATTATAGACATTCAAGTGGATTCAGGTTATGTGGCACCTGAAGTGGGGGACCTCTTTAAGGAAACAAATACAAAATTAGGTGTGAAAGTGAGTATTTGAAATGAAAGACAAAACCATCAACAAATTTTTGAAAGCTGACAAATACCACAAACATCCCCAGATCCAGAAAAAAATAACAATTTTTTAATAAATTAATTATCCAGCATACCTCTATAATACTTCTTTTCTACATTTTTTGGCCGTATATGCTTCTGATTATCTCTTCATATTTTATAAGTAAAAATATTACTTTTTATAGAAAAATGAAAAAATTCTGTCTTTCCTTAAACATGAATAATCAATCAAATTTGGATTATACGTTTCTCTTTAAATTTCCTAGTGTATATTTTTAATATAGCTAATATAGAATTTATCAGTTCTGTTATCATATACTATATATGCATATACATAGATACATACAGGTATTTGTAAGTATTTTCTTACTTTATATATACATATAAAAATCATGTTCATACCACCTGCTATTCCTGGGGCCTAATGGAACCTGGTATATCATTCCAGAAATATTTGCTAAATTGAAATTTTTAATAATGTTACTAAGCTAGAGAATCAAGGAACAAGAATACAGGGGAGAGAGCAGTTTCATTTTATGTATACAGATATTGAATAGAAAGCATAATTTTACATTTCAGTGCAGCAGTCATTAGTGACGTTGGAGTTAGGTGTACATCAGAACCCTCAAACCTTATAGATTCATGATACAGTGTTTCTGTTATTATTCTCCAATTTAAAATAAAATGAAAGTTGGACCCCTCAATGATTGATGAAATATGCTGATGGTGTCTTATTTGAAGTAGAAACTCAATAATTACTTTTTAAAAAATGTTTATAAAAAATGTCAAACATGCACAAAAGTAAAGTAGTATATGGGCAGGGCATGGTGTCTCACACCTATAATCTTAGCGCTTTGGGAGGCTGAGGTGGGAGGATTGCTTGAGCTCAAGAGTTCAAGAGCAGCCTAGGCAAGAGCAGGACCCTGTCTCTAAAAAAATAAATAAAAAGTAAAGTAGTATGAATACCCCTAGCCTCTGTGGTTATCAACATTGTCAACATTTACCAATCTATCTCTTGCACTTTAATTTGTTTGTTTCCTGGAGTATTTTAAAGCAAATAATCAGGTTATTTCACTGGTAAATACTTCAGGAGATAGCTCTGACATATAAGGGCTTCTTTTTAGTGTAACCATACCACTACTATCATGTCTAACAAAATTAACAGTAATTCCTTACCGTTATGGAATACCCACTCTGTGGTCAATTTCACTTGGTTGTCTCAAGAATGTAGTTTTACATTTGGTTTATTCTAATCAAGATTTTTAAAAGTCACATTTAGCATTTTATTGATATGTCTCTTTTTATCTATAGTTGTTTCTTCTACCCCTCCTTTTTTTTTTTTTTTTTGTCTCACTTTGTTGCCCAGGCTAGAGTGAGTGCCGTGGCGTTAGCCTAGCTCACAGCAACCTCAATCTCCTGGGCTCAAGCAATCCTGCTGCCTCAGCCTCCCGAGTAGCTGGGACTACAGGCATGCACCACCATGCCCGGCTAATTTTTTTCTATATATATTAGTTGGCCAATTAATTTCTTTCTATTTATAGTAGAGACAGGGTCTCGCTCTTGCTCAGGCTGGTTTTGAACTCCTGAGCTCAAAGGATCCACCCGCCTCGGCCTCCCAGAGAGCTAGGATTACAGGCGTGAGCCACCGCGCCCGGCCTACCCCTCCTTTTTTAAACGTTATTTGTGGAAACATTAGATCATTTCACCATCATAATAGGTAGCAGAGAAAACACAGTATTTAGAATAAAAAATCCCTGAGTTGATGTCTTAGCCACTTACAGTGTGTCCTTAAACAGATCATTTCACTTCTCATTGATAAAACTAATGGTGTTGAAATTAGATTATATTTAAAGTGCTTTTCAGTTGTTAGGACATTCAAC